GCGTTCAGGTCGGGTCAAGTCCACCTCCTCGACGCGCTGCAGCCCGGGTCGAAATTCTTGCAAAAAGGCAAATAAATGTACTCCCTGCTACCCGAACCTAACCTCCTCGCGATTATGGGGCTCTTTTAGTGGCTATTTTCCTTGTTTCTGGCCAGGAGTCGACCCGGGCTGCAGCGCGTCGAGGAGGTGGACTTGACCCGACCTGAACGCGTGCAATCCGGGAGACCAAGACCCGTAAAGCAGCACCGAGTTCTGAACTCTCCTCTGACAAGTGGAGCCGACAGCCGAGTGGCGAGCGCCCTGGGGTGTGGTGCACAAGACACCGTCGGCCGAGGGGTCGAGTCCCTGTCGGGGCGAACAGTTTGATTTTACTTTTTTTGGCGATGGGTGGTGGGGGGCGGCGGCTGCTGACTAGGCGGTCAAGTCCACCTCCCCATGTCGGTTGGTTAAAAAGTTCTGCGGCTGGGATTCGATCCCTCAACCGACGGTTTCCGGACCACACCTCAGCGCACTCGCCACTCAGCTGTCGCCTGCTCCTGCGGGCGCACACGTCAGAACCCAGTCCGTCTTTATGGGTGCTGATCTGCCGGATTGCACGCGTTCAGATCGGGTCAAGTCCACCTCCTCGACGCGCTGCATCCCGGGTCGTAATCTGGGCCAACAGGCCAATAAATGCACGCTCCGCTAGCCTAACCTAACCTCCTCACGCCCAGGGGGCTCATTTCCTGGCCATTTTCCTTGTTTCTGGCCAGGAGTCGACCCGGGCTGCAGCGCGTCGAGGAGGTGGACTTGAGCCGACCTGCACGCGTGCAATACGGGAGACCAAGACCCGTAAAGCAGGACCGAGTTCTGACATCTCCGTTAGATAGAGGAGCTGCCAGCCGAGTGACGTGCGCGCTAGGGTATGATCCGGAAACCGTCGGCCCAGGGATCGAATCCCGTTGAGGGTGAACTTTTTTTTTTTCGGAACCTGCTGAGTAGGTGGTGAAGTCCGCCACCTTACTTTGCTGCAGACCTAGTCTGATTCACACCGACGTTGTGTTAGGAGTGTCAATTTTCTTTAAAGAAAAACTTTAATTAATCAAGGGGATTCGATCCCCACACCGACGGTGCTCGGACCACACACCAGTGCGCTCGCCACTCGGCTATCAGCTGCTCCTAGCCACGACCAGGTCAGATCTCGGTCCCGCTTTACGGGTCTTGGTCTCCCGTATTGCACGCGTGCAGGTCGGCTCAAGTCCACCTCCTCGACGC